AAGGCTTTCCTCTGTAGATCCCTCAATGTGATTACCATCTTACTGATTTTCTAATGACAAGCAAATGCTACATTACTGAAACAAGTCTGAACTGATCATATTTTCCATTTCTTTCAATAGGCTCCTAGATTTTATTTGCTAATATTTGATTGAAGATTTCATACATTTAGTTTTAAGTGATAGTGTTCTTACCTTTGAAGAAAAAGAAAAAACATAGAATTTGGTCATAGCCATTCTAGTTTCATAAAATAAACAGGACCATTTTCCATATTTCTCCATGCTTTGAAGTAGATTAGAAAGCACAGGAAATACCTGCTCCTTTAAGATTTGACAGAATTTACTGATAAATATATCTAGAATTTGTACTTTGGGGGGGGGGGGAGTCTTTCTTTTAATCCTATTTTTGTCAATTTTAGCCATCTAAATTTTTAATAAATTTTTGGTCATTCATTTTGTAGGTTGAACTTATTGTCATAGGGTTAAAAATATTACTCTTTTCAAATATATTTTTAAAAATTCCCTCTGCATCTATGGTTATATGACTTTTTTTTTTAAGGCATGACTCTGGATCAAATTATTATGGTTGGATTTTTTAAAAAAACAATTTGAATACTTGTCTCCTAATAGAATAGGGTTGTTACTGTGTGGTAATGAATATGTTCGGTTTTAATTTAAACTATATTCTGCTTTTTATGCTTCCAAATGGTTTTCTCCTTACCACCCTCTCCTTAGCCATATTAAGATGTTCTATCCCGACTCGTGGCCAAGAAATTTTTCATCTCATTTCCACACTAGTACTGCTTAACTTAGAATTTTCTTCATCCTCGATTTCTTTACAGAAGCCAACCCTAAAACAGCATCGAGTCTCCTTGCACTCCTTCGTCTTCCTTCTGCCTGTCAAACTGTTGAAGCATTTTATAATTGTGGGTTCCCACTACTATTGGTCTGTTATATTAGTTTTTTGAGGAATCATTTATTGTTAACATTATGGCTTACTACTGTATTAACAACTGTTATTCGTAAGTAATTCCATACCACTTAAAAAAATACTCTATTTTGATTTCCTCCCCTATTGGGTTCGTAATTCTAATTGCTTGTTTGGCTCTGGATCTCTTTGCATTTTTGTTGTTCAGGACAAGTACATGAATGGGATGTTTCGCGGGTCATTCAATGTCAAAGATGATCCTTCCGTTGCCCTTTCAGGCAATGACGTCTCCGCTGGCTGTAAAACGTGAACAGCACACGCCCTCTAGCATCTAAGGTGCTCTTCCACTGCTTTCGGCGTACGATGTTAGTAGGTAACTGGGTACAAATTTACTCTCCTTTTGTGGACAACATCTCCCTCACTCCCCCCTATCCCACCCCCCACACAGCTGGATGCTTATAGTTTATTCATTTTTTAAGTATAACAATTCTGTTAGAATACATTTAAAAGAGAATTTTTCATGATTCTTTTTGTTAATAACCGCTTTATTGAGATAGAATTCACACGGCATAAAATTTCTTCATTGTTCTTTGCTGGCCCCCTCTGAGCCCTTCGACGTGGAGATTCCTGATTCCCTTTAGCCAAAGTGGCGGTGAGCGTGTGAGGTTTGACATGCAAGCTCAGGCTCCCGTCTTGAGCCAGAAGCCTATCCAGCACACCCTGAAAGTGGACTGTGGCTGCCGCACGGCTACCCCTCCCTCCTGTCCCTCAGGCTCCATCTTGGAACATCTTTGACTTTCTCTATACTCTTTGGCTTTCTCATCGGATTCCTCTTCTTTCTCTGTGGTTTTGCCAGGTCCAAACCTCAGCCCCCTCCTCTCATTCAACATACTCTTCCTGGCTCCAACTACCATCTCTATCAGTGATTCTTTGGCCCCTCCCCAAATACTGTTTCTGTAGAAACTTTCTCCCATCAGCAACGCATCTGTCATTAAGCATGGTGATTCTCAACTACAGGGATATCCTGAAACTTCAGGAGGGGCATTTACAGCTTGAAGAAGCACTTCTGCCCAGGGCCTTTCGTCTGAGACACATCTGTTCCATCTCTGGCAAATGGCACCATCATCCACTGAGCGGTCCACTCCAGAAGCCTGGAAGTCGCTGCCACTGGACTTGAGGACAGAGATGGCGTCTTGTCTACTTCACTATCATTCATCAGGATGTACTGGATAGGCTTCTGGTTCAAGATGGTAACCTGAGCTTACATATTAAACTTCACACATTCCCCACCACCTTAGCTAAAGGGAATCAGGAATCTTCACCTCAAAGGACTCAGGGATGGCCAGCAAAAGAATGAAGAGGGCCTAACACACAGCAACACAACAAATATTTGTTGAAGGAATGAATGCAGTCAATCACTAAATTCTGTGGTTTCCAATTCATTTTCTTTCCACTCATCCTCTTTCCTTTCATCCATAGTCAGTAATTTAGTTAAAATCACTATTATTGTCTGCTTGGCTTACTGCCAAAGTTTGCCAGGCTCCAGTCCTGCTTCTCCCAACCTGTTCTCTGTAGGCTATAGTCACTTATCTTCCTCACAGATCAGTTCTTATCCCCTCAACTTAAGGCCTTTCAAAATCAAATCCAAATTTCTCAACATAATATACAAGCCGATAATGCCCTTGACGTTGTACACAGCATTCCTTCTACTTGGGAGAATAACTCAGGTGTCATTGTAAGGAGAATTTCTTGATGTCCCAAAGCTGAATTAAACATTCATCTGATGTGTTCCCCAAAGCATCCCGTATTTCCCCTACTATTACATCTATTCTGTACTGTAATCGTCTTTTTACTCGTCTGTCTCCTCAACTACAATGGAAATTTTGATGGGTGGGCCACTGTCCTTTTCACCTTATCTCAGTGCCCTGCATGGTTCCTGACATGGAGTAGGCATTTAATGGGTATCAGGTGAATGAATGTATTTTCAAGCCCCACAAGAGTCCATGCAAGTAGAGAATTTTGGAACTCCATCATGGGAGAGGGATTCTGAATCCAGCTGAGATCCATAAACAGACATTAGGAGTGCATGAATACCACAGAATTGTACCCAACATTTTATGTGCATATACATTTGTTAAGGGTAATTTTTAGACTGCCTAAACAGTCAATCCTAAAAATTTAAGAAATGCTTGGTTAGAAAGGACTATTCTAAAGTGTATTACAAACGAACAAAACCAAAACGTAGATACACACACACACACACACACACACAACACACAGACACACACAGGGATTGACCCAATGACATCAAGCCCTAGGGTAAACTTTTCCTGAAAAGGGACAAGAGGCAGAGACTCAGGCTGCAGAAGAGCTGAAGAAAAACACACGCCAGGAAAGAACTGAGGGAGAAGAGGAACTTCTGTTTCCTTGGCCGTTTTACGCAGGGTCCTCATGCACTCGGTGTGAAAGGGTGGCTTCCATACAAAGGGTCTATCAGGATCCGAGGAGATCTGTGTAATTTTGAAAACTGAAAACTTCAGCTTGCCGTAATGCTACCCAACTTAAGGCAAGTTCTATTCTACAATCCAGCTGTCTTTTCCGATCTGGCTAGTGAATCCCTATCTAGACTCTCACCTTCAACAGAAGGAAAGAGAAAAAGGAAGAGGAAGGCAGTTGGCTGGGCTTATGACGAGGGGCAGGAAGAGGAGGTCAAACCCTCACCACTTCTCAGGTGATCCTCCTTCCCTGGCTCACTCTACTCCTTTATTCATAGTACAGTGTATGTAGTGTCCTATTTGGAGGAATCGTGAAATTATATCAGGCACTTTGGTAAAATGATAAGATGTATGTAAGTTCTGAAAAACACAGGTAATTTTGAAAGTTCTGGGTGTTTTTTTTTTAAATAAATGCTGACCATGTGCATCCTCTCCCTAGGTAATTAAACATTTAATAAAGGAAGGGAATATGATCTTTCTTCTTTTGGTAAGCTCTCCTATCAGCATAAAACAAAGCAAAAAGGTTTGCTTTAGAAAATGTTCACTTTTGTCTAAGATGCTGCACTAATCCACAAATGTAGGACAGGTACTTCAGAGTGGTGATAGGCTTGATTATTTCGTGTTTCAATGCCACCTGGCCTAACTTCCATTACTGCGGAGTCCGCAGGGTGGCTACTGATCTCATGTCCACGATGTCTCTGGCTGTGAAACAAACCTTGCTTACAAGGGGCTGGAAACTGGACCCTGTCCGCATCAGCATCATCTTTCATCCAAAGAAAATGAAAGCCGTTTGGCAAACTGGGTCAAAAGACTTGGTGAATTCACTGGTTACTTAATTAGTATCTAGGTAATCAGGAATGGTCCACAACTACCTGTCTAGCAATTCAGCCCCGTATCATTTAACAACACATAAGAACAGCTCTGTCATGATGTACATGGATAGAAGCCTCATGAATTTATTATATATACTTATAATCCAACAGTGTGTAATTCTGCTACAGAACTCCAATTGTATAAATGGAAAAATTGTGACTGTTAAAAAAATAGGTTTTAAAAACCAAGTCTGTAAAAACATCTTTTTAAGATTCTATATTAATCTATGCTATCCGGAATTTTGGTGAGGTTTTAATCTATTCATAAAAATATATTATTTTAACTAGTAGTGACAACTGAGGATTGCTCTGGGTAAATTCCTAATAAATTTATGGTGAAATTTAGTGGTCAGTCATGCTGGCTGGAAGCTGGGGTGAAAAGAAAGAACAGGAGAAAGGGGGAAAACCACAGTTTAGTAAAGTCCCTCCCACCTGACAGTGTCTTATTTGAGGTAATAGTCATCACTTAGAAAAAAATTCCAGGATTCACTCAAGAGCTGCAATGGGTTTTGCCCTGTTATCTACTCTGATACCCTTCTTAGCAAGAAATTGCTGTGAATGATTTATTGAAATCTGGCCTAAGTTCCGTTACATTCACAGATGAGCTGAACATGTCACATGTGTGGTATGTGAAACCCTTTCAAATGCTACGGGGGCTGTTTTGAGGAGAGAGAGAAAGATGAGAACGGAAGAAAAAAATTCTATAACCTCGTCCATTGCCTGCTCTACTTGCATCCTTATCCTTAATCTTGTCGACCTCATTGTGTCCTCCATCTTCTTTAGGTTTCGCTGCTGCAAGAGAGACCCAGATTAGGAAGTGACTTGAGAATGATGCCAGGATCGATGTGGACAATGAGATGAGAGCCAGAGTGAAGCCAGAAGAGGCTGAGAAGCCAGAAGTGGAAATGAGTTGTCAGAGATCCTCATGATGTGGCATTGACAATATATATATTCCATCCCTCCATACAGGTGTGAAATTTGCCAAACCAAACAAGTAATACTCACCCAGAAGAACAGGGTCTACTCTCACTGACAATATTATTTGGTACTCTCTAACTGAAATGTGCATGTTATGAAGATGTTCTTAAGAGATTACTTCTGGGCAGAATTATTCTGGTGACGTGTGGAATGGAAAGGCAACATGAAGCATGACGACATGGATGGGCATCACCTGGGAAATCCAGCAATCCGCTCCAACAGATGCCCTCAAGGTAGCATTTACCTTGATGAGCCTCACAGACTCTGATACCCGATCTCTTTGACTGGACCCAGGAATGCAGACTCATGCTAACAAAACTCACAAGACACTGATGTATTAAAAAAAGAAGAAGAAGAAGAAGAAGGCGACTTTATTATTTACAGTGAACAGCAGAAGATTCAGGCTACTGAATGTCCATCAGCCTGATAGTGCATTATCTCCTTGGGAAGACAAATTATCAGAGGGAAGCTTGGTGGGCGTGGAAGCAGAGCAAGTGGAGTTAATTACACAGGATTCCAGCACAAAATGGCATGAGGCTCTGCAGCTTTCCACAACAGGGTTATCCACCTGCCAGGCAGGCTGGATGCATGCCTCAACCTGGCAGGTGCTATTGATCAGACAGTGCTTGGTTGGGTATCACAACACTTAAACTGATTGCTTTTCCTTTTCTCTGTTTTAGAGACAGAGAAAATGCTCTTCTGATGGAGATTTTATATGTTTGGGAGTTTTTAAGATGCCAGTACCCTCAATTATAGTCAAATCTTACTGTCCAAGGAGTCTTCATGTTTCTTAGGTTCACGTTGGCTCTCTTGGATTTAATCTAGTAGATGTGCATTTCTTAGTTTAATTTTCAGAGAGTATTTTCATTTTCCAGCTTTCTGAGATCAAAAGGGGCACCGCACGGTGGACTCCACACTTGCCTACAGGTTCCACAAAGTGTCAGTTAAAGTCAAACCAACCTGTATTCGCTGTACCAACTGTATGCTCACTGCTGTACCAGCTACAAAATAACATTCAAAAGAGCCTCTAAGGAAATGTTGTATCTCCTGGATGCCTACAGACTTTTGCTCTCTTTAAGGTACAAGAAATAGGAAGATAAGCACAACATTGTCTTGTTCCCTTTAAAAGCTCCAGCCTAACAAAGGAACAAGATATGTGTTAAAAAAAAAAAAAGGGTACTGTGCCAAGTGGCATGAAGCATGGCAGCAGGAGTACCTTTTATACTCATAGGCAGAGACAGAAGCCACATCTTTCAGTAAATCTGATTAAAAAAAAAAAAAAAGACCTAAATAATAATGATGATTACTTTAAAAAAATTTAACAACAGTGAAGCACGAAGTATAGGTTCCTTCCTTTCTACTTCCCCACCCCTGTTCTACCTTTCAAGGTTGCCCTCAGTAGTTTGGTGAACACTCTTCCAGATCTTTTTCTATGTACATGAAACACACACACACACACACACACACACACACACACCTGCAGCCCCAAACACATATTTATATATGTATACAAACATAAATTTATATATTCTATCAACATGTAAAATTTATGGATTACACATCCCATTTACGATACACACACACATGCATGCATCCGTTTATATAATATATACACATGGGTGGAATCGTACTATATACATTGTTTTACAACTAATTCTTCTACATTTAATTCTTTGTTGTCAATTATGACATGTATATAGAAAATTAAATAGCAAAATAAATATGCTGTTTAGAAACTAAATTTCCCTGGATAGCTGCCACCAGGTCAATAAATAAAAAATTCGGAGTACCCTAGAAACTCCCTGCATCCACCGCCCCCCCAACCAAATCATCATGCTGAATTTTATGTTAATCATTTCCTTAGTTTTACTACCCATAAGGCAGGCAGAGCTCAAATTCTCCTGCATTGGCAAATGCCCGCAGGGCTACAGCAGCTTGGTTCTTTAAGCCTCCATGCACTCTCGCTGTTCCTTAGATTTCCTTTGATTTTCTGCCCTTTGATGCTCTGAGGATGTTTTCTTCTACACATTCAACAGTTTGGATGGTTTTCAGCAAGAGGATTGTTCAAATAACCCGATGGGCCATATTTCCAATAACAGAAATCTGTGTCACTTCTCAATTCTTACGTACTATATCCTAATGCCTGAGGGGTTATGAGAAGCAAACATCCTTAATTTTCCACAGCACAAACACTGAAATATCCAAAAAATGCACAAGGAGTAAAGAGCAAAGGAATGGACATGCGAATGAATATATGGTTACTTCTGCTCTTGTGGGGTTGCTGATTTCTTTCTTTGAAGGAAGATAAGAATGTAGATGCATAAAATGATCTGACATCAAACAATATGAGGCAATAAAGCAATGTGTTTAAATGAAATCACTTCCACTCACCAAACATGGAAAGATTTCCAAGATATACTGTCAGGTGAACAAAAGAAAGTCATGGATGGTGTCTGTGTAGAAAATAGATCTATCTGTATCTATCTCCCACATGTGTAAATAGGTGTGTGTATATGTGCCCACACACATTCTTGTTTATGCACTGAAATATGACGGTAAAGACAGGCAACAGTGGTTCCTTCTATGAACTGGGATTGGGAAACCCCAGGAGTTATCTTTTCACTTTTAAATATCCTATACAATATTTTTACATGAAGCAATGTATTACTTTTATAGTTCAGGGAGAAAAATTTTAAATTACATTCAAGGGCAAACATATCTGACAAAGGAAATCATGAAGATAGGAAGACATAAATTATTGGAGAAGGCTTCTTCAAAAAGATGGGACTTGAAATGGGCTCCGTAGGGCTGGTAGAGTTCACACTGAGAGGACAGGGCTGGGGGGGAAGCAGGTGACATGGACAAGAGCTGTGTCTGAACAGACATTAGGAAGAGATGAGAATGGTAACTAAAGAGGACCATAGGGAAGCTCACCTGGCTAAAATTAACTCCAGTTCACACTGAGAGATATGATTACATGGACACAGCACAGCCATAGCACAAAATGTGGAATGTCATCAATATTAAGAGTTTATCATTGGTTTGATGGGAAATAGAAGTCATTACAGGTTACTTACAAGGTAGTAATAAAATACCTCATGGAGTAGTTTGTGCAAAATGAAATCAAACGTGAAAAATCCCTAATAATTTGTAAAGTGCTGGATCAGCAATTATAGGTTTTATTAGGCAAGAGTTACATTTTAGGGAGATTATCATGGTATTCTGATATGGAATGAACTACAGGGGCAGAAAGACTCAGGGCAAGGAGATTCCTTAGCAATATAATATTCCTGTAAGAGCCTGCCCAGTTTTCACAACCTGAAACATGCAGATAATCAGGTTTGTTAAGGATTAAATGTACATAAAATGGCATGGCCACAAAGTATTAGTTCATTTCTTCTCAACTGTTATAGTCCAGATGTATGTTGATAAAGATCAGAACTGATGCCCTGGTCACAGGAATGAAAAAGATAAAGCCAGAGGTGCCAGAGCTGCCTGGGTAGCTCAGTCATTCTGACTGGATTTTGGCTCAGGTTATGATCCCAGGCTCCTGGGATCAAGCCCCATGTTGGGCTCCGTGCTCAGTGGGGAGTCTGCTTGAGGATTCGAGATCTCTCCCTCTCCCTCTGCCCTCTCTGGAATAAATAAATAAATCTTTAAAAAAAGAAAAAAGCAAAAGATAAAGCCAGAGATTTTTCTAAATAAATAACCTATAAGGACCTATTTCTTACATGAAGGAAATGAAAGAGGAAAAGATGATTTCTAGGTTTCCAGCAGGGGAGACTGGTGGAATGATAATGTTCCTGACAGAAATCTACCCAGATCTGTGACGCACAACATTTTAGAGTCAGGACACTCATACCACGCATGTGACTTTCACCTCCTCCAGCTGGCATTCCTGACCCACAACCCTCCCCACCTGGGTTTGGGGTAACCGCCTTACATTAGTACAAATATGTCTTGAAATATTTTTTTTTTAAAGATTCTATTTATTTATTTGACAGAGAGAGACAGCTAGAGAGGGAACACAAGCAGGGGGAGTGGGAGAAGGAGAAGCAGACTCCCTGCTGAGCAGGGAGCCTGACATGGGGCTCGATCCCAGCACCCTGGGATCATGACCTGAGCCGAAGGCAGACGCTTAATGACTGAGCCACCCAGGTGCCCCATATATATGTGCACTTATATTTATTTTATTTTGGAAAAAGACTTCAAGGACACATTAAAAACTTCAAGACAATGGAGATATGCAAAGTCACTAACTACTCATTTATTGCAATGGGCAAAACTTAGCAGTACCTTATTAAAAATGAAAATGAGCTCCACGTTTGACTTTAAGGATGAAAAATTCCACATAATTCATACTAAAATATTTGGCAGAATTAAACATCTTTAAAGTTTAAAATTATTGGTATTTAGATCATATTAAGGTCTGAATCACAAAATTATGAAACCAAAAAAAAAATCAATAAAAATTAGTAACATATTCTTTTCTTCTAAGTGGACTATGACTTCTGAGATCCATGTTACAACCCTGGGCTGTAGTCTTAAAGCAGAGTTTATTATAGCTTTACAGTATTCCAGAAGTCTCCGTTGGATACACTTTGTTGCCTAGCTAAAGGTCAAAGCTTGAGGACCATTACATGATACAAAACAAAAATTCAAAAAGCTTGAAAGTAATCTATCATGCTTCAAACTCTCTACTTTTCTGTAAGGTCACATCTCTGCAGAAGATAGCAGAGTTGGCAATTGTGTAACTAAGCCTCCAGAACTAGTTACAACTCTGGAATGTGATCATGTTTTGTAATGTACTTTGG